TCCTCATTTGTGGTGTGCAAGGATTGGTGACAAACTGCTTGAGCGGGCAGCCAGGACCAAGAGCGCTGCCTGGAGGAAGGGAGCAGCTGGGCGCTCAGCCTGGCTATGGTRAGCAGCCCAGTATGAGGAGGAGGAAGAAGGGGTGAAGGATAAGAGTGGCAAGGTACCTACCTGGCTATGGTGGACACTATCTTCATCACCTTGCTAGGCGCTGCATCTGGCCCCAGTTGGGGTAGCGCCGCTCCAAGGAAGCTTYGAGGCAGAGTCGGGCATGGCGGCYTGAAGAGCAGTGGCCATAGCTGCTCTGAGTTGTCTTTTGCACAGCAGGKCAGAGCCYTGAGCAGTCCGCCATAGCTCTGGCATGTGAGAGGGAGGTGAAGGGGGGAGCCATGCTATGGTGGAAGAGCTTTGGATATTGATTCTGGTTCAACCACTCGTTGTTATTATTATTATTTGGGAAACAAATAAGGTTGGTGAAGACGAGGAGGGAAGGAGAGAGAAGAGGAGATTTGTCATTGGTCTCGTTGGTGTACATCTTCTTCTTCTTTGTTGTTGTTGTTGTTGTTGTTGTTCTTGTTCTTCTTCTTTCTCTTTCCTTCTTTAGTCTCTATCTCATTGCAAGTGCTTTCATGTTTCACAATTGGGTGGCATTGTCTTTCCATATGAATTTGCACTTCAGAAATGACCAGGATTGTAACATAACCTATAATCTATGTGCATATACATATACAGTTACATAAGCTGGAAACCCGGTGCAGGATCCCCTCCTTATTGCATAACTGAAAGATATGAAACCAGTAAATGTAGCTGGGGTCATCCCACAAAACTTCTGATGACAAAACGAATGATGATATCCTTGACATTCAACTGCCCCTCCCCCTAGGCATCATGGATATTCAGCTGTTCACAAGTCTCTAAGTAGCCCCCTCCCAGCAAAGTTCCTGCCTATCCACCATCATGACYTTTTTTTGTGGGGGGTGGGGGGGGGGCGGTGGGACAATGCTCCAATCTATTCGTGGGGAGCAGCATGTGTGCGCCCAGCGTCCCTTATGAAATGTAAAGAACAATCTGAGATGCCGGGTCCATTACCTGGCTTCAGTTGAGAACAACATAAATATTCGTGAAAAACTCCTGAACTTTTTCTTCTTTTTTCTTTCGGGTGGTGGTGGCCRGGGGACCTTCTGAATAATTAAGAAATTCTACATTAGAATTAGCAAGGAYTTYAGCAAAAAGCTAAGGGAGGGGATTTGCACACCGACAYACTACCACCACCYTCCTACACTAACTTGGCGACGAACARAAATCGGCAAATTTGGCAATTAGGACGAAAGACTGTACCTGCAAATGTAGGGAATACGAGCAAATTGACCGWTGATCTGATARCCACGTTTGATGCAGTCTATTGCCACAAGCTTGCAGAGACCAGCCAGCWATGAGACCCTTATGGATATTGGCCCTCGCAGGGGTTTCCCCCTCCCGGGTCGCATGTATGCTGCCYCGAAATCAGGCATCAGAAGTTCCCAATCCACGCCTTCTTCGTCCCYAGCATMCCTTRTCTCCACRGAYGRAATGGTGCTCRTTCCYGGAACATTCATTAWGACAATCGACAACCAGCCCCACTGATTGSCACAAACCCGTACGGCCAGAAAGGGGTATCRAACAMATGGCACCACTYGAAAGACCACAGKTRCAWCACCCGTCCTWGGGCTCGCAATCAATGGGAACATGCGCACACCCAAGTCGACATGCACTTTGCCAYSATCACAATTGCMCGCATTGTCAATYGTATCAGGGCAATGGTCCRTCACTGTCACCCTAGCAACTCCATCCTTGCAGGGGGGCCTAGTGKTGTTGCACTGCACTTCYAGGCACTGCCCACATGCTTTTCCATCTTGCCAAAGCGCAAGCGACACTGCGGCATAATGGTACCCATACACCGTCGTCGCCAGTGTTCCATAGCCACATGCACCTATATCCTCATTATCTTTGGGAAACGCCTCTCGACCATAGAACGTTGCTCTACCAGGAATCCATACGTCATCGGACAATGTAAACAAAATTGTTGAGCAGATGTCGCTTGCTGTCAGAGAGTCCAATGAAGCAGTACCGGACTGGACCAATTTCATGTTTTCTTCGCTGCTAGCATTCTGTATGCTGCAGGTTGCATTGAGCATTGGTGAAGTAACATCAGGGTAGAGGTTCCCTGCACCATTGGGCATACCAATGGGTATTTGCATGGACAGAGGTATGAAAAGGAACACGCATAACATGGCAGCATGCAGCGTCAAAAACTCTCTGCCAGTGCATATGGACCGKGCGCATGTTGTTTTTACAATCTCCACCCTTCCACATGCCAATCGCCGCTGCCCTTCCAGGAYTGAATGACAAAGCRTTTTGTGGCCTTCTGTCTTACACCTGCTGGACAAACAAAAATAAATTCTCTCYYTGTCTTGGTGGTCCTCCGACTGAACATGTACAAAATTTGGCGTTTGACTTCTCATTATCTTCCSGACGGAGACCATGATCCCTCTAAGAGTTCAGAAGAGAAATTACAAAGCAAAGGCAATGTTGCACTAGCAGCCCCCTAGAGAACCACAAAATCCAATCAGAACACTGGCTGAGGTGTTTCACTCCTGGAAAGCAAAGACAATGTTGCACTGGCAGGCTGGCAGCCCCCTAGAGCACCACAAAATCTAATCAGAACACTGGCTGAGCTGTTTCACTCCTCCAAAGCGAAGGCTATGTTGCACTGGCAGCCCCCTAGAGCACCACAAAATCCAATCAGACCACTGGCTGAGCTGTTTCACTCTTGCAAAGTGCATAATAACAAGATCACCAAAAAGAGACCAAAATTTCACAAAAAGTTCAAAAACAGAAATAAAAATGAGGTCATTCCAGATGGTAATATTAGCTGAACAAATTTGATTTTTTGTATCCACCTCCCCTCCCTCCGTCCCACCTCTACCTATTTCTTGGAGGGTCTCTCTCCACCTCCCCTTCCTCCCGGTGACTCGAGCATCATTTGTTTCATGCCATTTGTGTAAGAAACGGGTGATAGGTTTTGTATTGTGAACACAAAACTGTGTTTTCAACTTTTCAACTTTTCAACTTTTCATTACAATCAACTTTTTTGAACTTTTTTCCTTTTCGCAATTGATGATTACCCATCCCAGAAACAAATTGCGAGACCAAAAAAAAATTTCCGCAGTCCTTACCGGGTGCACGTGATGAAGATGCAAGGAGCCCAGACGTGATGATACTCGTCAACATTACCAGTCCATATGATTATCGATCTGCTGATGAATGACAAACAATCGCAATGTGTGTGATGATAG